CTGGGTTGGCCTGGCTCCAGAGCTCTTAGAGTACGGTCACCAGTGAGTGGTGCTGCCAGAATTGAGAACTGGCCATTGCAAAGGGCACAGCGTTCTGTGGCCGCCCACTCAGTTTCCTGAGCAGCCTGGAAGGCTCACATGTGGACTAGGAGGCTCCAAGAAGCCAGGGGTAAACTGAGCTCCTGCATAACCCTCCACGAGATGAGGTTCACATGCCAGCTTGAACAGAGTAGCCCCTCTCTCTGAGCTTGAGTTTCCTCATCTGTAAGGTGGGCTCATAACCACCATTTGTTGTGCACTGAGTCATCTCAAGCTTGAGATGAGGCATTTTCCCAACAGCCCTGTGAAGTGGGGATTGTTGTCCCCACTTTCCAGGCGAGGAAACTGAGGTCCAGAGAGGTTAAGTAATATACCCGTGAATTGTGGAACTGGATTGAAACATAGATCTGTCTAACCTAGAGCCTTCACTTAAAAGGAAAAAAAGCAATAGCTATTGAAGGATGATATAGATAAGGAAAGCACCACAAAGCATGGGCAGACAGTTTGATGAATTTCCACAGGTGTACACACCTGTCCCAGCCCTCCCAGAGGCCCCCCTGCCACTTTCTAATTACTGCCTCCCTGCAAAGGTAATCACCACCCTCACTTCTAACACCGTAGATTCATTTTGCCTATTTTTTCCCCTTTCTGATGTAAACTCTCATAGGAAAAAGGTTTGGGACTAATTCCTGACTGTCCTCAGGTCTATAAATGGTGGATTGTTTTCTATCTTGTTCACTCAACTTGAATGTGAAGGTTCAGTTTTCATTCTCTCCTAGCCACTTATTGTAGCTGAGGATGCATAGTCAGTTAGATCGTTACTTAGCTGAACCCCGAATTCCTTTTAAATGTGGACCTCTTTGGCGTCCAGGCCATTTTCTTAACTTTTTGTTGAATCACAATATACATTTTTAAAAGTGCACACGTCATAATATACAGCTCCCTGAATATTCACAAAGTGCACATGCCTGTATGCCCAGCACTCAGATAAGGGACTAGAAGCTTCTTAGCTCCGAACCAAACCCCCAAAGTAACCACAGTCCTGACTTCTGCCACCACAGATTAGATTTTCCTTTTTTGTTTGTTTGTTTGTTTGTTTTGCCACGCCACCCGGCATACAGGATCTTAGTTCCTTGACCAGGGATTGAACCCATGCCCCCTGCAGTGGAAGCATGCAGTCCTAACCACTGGACCACTGGGAAGTCCCAGATTTTCCTGTTTTTTAACTTAAGGGAGTAAAACATAAATGGATTCATGCAGTATATGAGTATACACTCTTTTGCGTTTGGCTCCTTTCACTAAACATTGTGAGGTCCATCCAAGCTGTTGTGAGGTTGTACATTCTCATTGCTGTGTAGTGTTCCATTGGTGAGTGGACCCTAATATTCATTCTCATGTCAGTGGACATTTAGGCTCTGTTCTATCAGGAATCATGCTGCTGTGGACATTTTGTCTGTGTCTTTTCGTGAACATTTATATGCATTGCTGATGGGTGTATATCTGGTAGTGGAGCTGCTGAACACTGAACATATGTGTTTGTTCAGCTTTAGTAGATAGTGTCACACAGTATTCCAGTTACACTCCCAGTTCACACCAATTCACACTCCCACCAGCAGTGTGGGTAACTTCCCCTCGTTCCATAGCTTCACTATAACACAAGCTGGGTGTTGCCTGTATTACTGTTGTTTCCAATGGAGCCTTCTGGTGGGTGCAAAATGGTATCTCATTATAGTTTTCCTTTCCTTTACGTTTATCGTCCATTTCTTTATCCTTTATGAAATGCCTGTTCAAGTCCTTTGCCTATTCTTTAACTGGACGCTATGTTCTGATCTGCAGAAGTTGTTTATATATTCTGAATACAAGCCTTTTGTTGGATATATTATTGGAAACATCTTCTAGTTTGTGGCTTGCCTTTTCTCTTTCTTTTTTTTTTCCTATTTTTATAAATTTATTTATTTATTTACTTTGGCTGCGTTGGGTCTTCGTTGCCCAGTTGCGGCGAGCGGGGGCTACTCTTCGTTGCGGTGTGTGGGCTTCTCATTGTGCTGGCTTCTCTTGTGGAGCCTGGGCTCTAGGTGCATGGGCTTCAGTAGTTGTGGCACGTGGGCTCAGTAGTCGTGGCTCGCGGGCTCTGGAGCACAGACTCAGTAGTTGTGACGCACGGGCTTAGTTGCTCCACGGCATGTGGGATCTTCCCAGACCAGGGCTTGAACCCATGTCCCCTGGACTGGCAGGCGGATTCTTAACCACTGTGCCACCAGGGAGGTCCCTTGCCTTTTCTCTTTCTTAATGGTACCTTTTGATGAAAAGAATATTAAATTTTGAGGCAGTCCAATTTATCAGTTTCTCTCTATGTTTTTTTTGTGACCTATTTAAGAAAGTATTGCCTACTCTAAAATCATAAAGATATACTCCTATGTTTTCTTCTAGAAACCTATCGTTTTACCTTTCACGTACAGGTCTGTGCTCCATGTCAAATTAATTTTTGTGTGTATATGAACGAAGGTTCTTCACTTCAGTGCATATCAGTTTATCATTTTTCCCTTATGGGTCCTACTTAAGAAATCTTTACCTATCTCAAGGTCATGAAGGTAGTAGGAGACTTCACTTTTTTTTATTGAGGTATAGTTCATGTACAATATTATATGTCACAGGTGTACAACATACTGATTCACAATTTTAAAGGTTACACTTCATTTATAGTTACTATAAAATATTGGCTATATTCCCTGTGTTGTACAATATGTCCTTATAGACTATTTTATACATGATAGTTTGTACCTCTTACTCCCCTCCCCCTGCCTTGCCCCTCCCCCTTCCCTCACCCCACTGGTAACCACTGGTTTGTTCTCTATTTCTGTGAATCTGTTTCCTTTTTGTTATATTCACTAGTTTGTTCTATTTTTTAGATTCCACATGTAAGTGATATCATACAGTATTTGTGTTTCTCTGTCTGATGAGAGCTTACTTTTTTAAAATTTATTTATTTATTTGGCTGTGCTGGATCTGATTTGCAACACACGGGGTCTTCGTTGCCTCATGCGGGATCTTTAGTTGCAGCATGCGGGATCTAGTTCCCTGACCAGGGATCGAACCCGGGCCCCCAGCATTGGGAGCATGGAGTCTTAACCACTGGACCACCAGGGAAGTCCCAAGACCTTACTTTTTTTTTTTTAATAAATAAATTTATTTATTTATTTATTTTTGGCTGTGTTGGGTCTTCGTTGCTGTGTATAAGCTTTCTTTAGCTGTGGTGAGTGGGGGCTACTCTTCGTTGTGGTGCGCGGGCTTCTCATTGTCGTGACTTTTCATTGTGGAGCATGGGCTCTAGGCGTGCAGGCTTCAGTAGTTGTGGCATGCGGGCTCTAGAGCTCAGGCTCAGTAGTTGTAGCGCACGGGCTTAGTTGCTCCGTGGCATGTGGGATCTTCCCAGGCCAGGGCTCGAACCCATGTCCCTTGCATTGGCAGGCGGATTCTTAACCACTGCGCCACCAGGGAGGCCCAAGACCTTACTTTTTTAATAACAGTTTTATTGAGCTGTAATTCCTATGCCATACAGTTCATCTATTTAAAGTAGACAATTCAGTGGGTTTCGGGGATATTCACAGAGTTGTGCAACCATCACCATAGTCAATTTTAGAACATTTTCTTCCCCCCCAAAAGAAACCCACAGCCATTAGCAGTCACTCCCCATCCCCGCCCCCCCACAACCTCTTAGCCCCAGGCAACCACTAATCTACTTCTGTCTCTGTAGGTTTACTGTTCTGGCTAAACATTTCATACAAATGGAATCATAAAATATGTGGCCTTTTGTGACTGCTTTCTTTCACTTAGCATAACGTTTTTCTTTTTTTTTTTGCGGTGCGGGCCTCTCACTGCTGTGGCCTCTTCCGTTGTGGAGCGCAGGCTCCGGACGCGCAGGCTCAGCGGCCATGGCCCACGGGCCCAGCCGCTCCGCGGCATGTGGGATCTTCCCGGACCAGGGCACGAACCCACGTCCCCTGCATGGGCAGGCGGACTCTCAACCACTGCGCCACCAGGGAAGCCCTAGCATAACGTTTTTAAGGTGTAGTGTTGTAGCGTGTGTTAGTACTTTGTTCCTGTTATTGCTAAATAAGGTTCCATTACACGGCCATACCATGTTTTTGTCTATCCGTTTATCAGTAGATGGGCATTTGAATTGTTTCCATTTTGACTATTATGGATAATACCACTATGTACAACTTTTATGTGGAAGTATATTTTCATTGCTGTCGTGAGGAGCCATCATTCTTAATCATATACAATGAGATTCACTGATGACGTGTCTTTAAAGCCCTGGCACATACTAAGCGTTCAAACAGTGACAGTTTTATACACACACACACACACACACACACACACACACACACACACACAGCAACGGACACCACAATTTAGCTGTTAACGAAAGACCCTGTAGGGACTTCCCTGATGGTCCAGTGGTTGGGACTCGGCGCTTTCACTGCCGTGGTCCGGGTTCAATCCCTGGTCAGGGAACTAATATCCCACAAGCCGTGTGGTGCGGCCAAAAAGAAACAAAAAAAATCCCCAGTAATCCCCACCCAAGCACTGGGTCCCCAACACACACAGCTGCCCACAGACATTGGGAGGTCATGGAAATGCTCAGACAACACCCCCTGTTCTTTGCAGGTCAAATCACACGTAGGTGGTAGCACAGCAGGGCAGGGAAGGGAGGAATCAGGAGTCCCGGGCCCTGACCTTGCTAAGCTGCTAGCTTGTATGTGCCATCCAGGGACCTCAGTTTTTCTACTAGAGAGTGGACGTAGGGCGGCTGGTAGTTCTGGCCCTTATGCATGGCTCACTTAGCTTCTTTCCCGTTCCCCAGGCCGTGGCTCAGCTAATGATCCTGTGAGTGTCAGGGAGTCACCATTGCCCCTGGGGGCCCCTGTCCCGGAGTGGCCTACCTGTCTGCTCCCAGCATGGCGTCAGACACCCCTGAGTCCCTGATGGCCCTCTGCACTGACTTCTGCCTGCGCAACCTGGATAGCACCTTGGGCTACCTGCTGGACAAGGAGACTCTGCGGCTCCATCCAGACATCTTCCTGCCCAGCGAGATCTGTGACCGGCTCGTCAATGAGTGAGCAGGCGTGGGGCTGGGGCAGGGGCCTGAGCCTCAGCATGAGTGTGTGCGGAGAGATTGGGAGCATTGTGCGTGCCCCCCCGTGGGGATATGCACATACGTGGGTATCCATGGGTGCAAGAGAACACTGACCCCTCCATAACCATAAAGTTGTAATTGTGCATGTTGGTATGTATGTGGAGGGGGGCGCACGTGAAGGAATGTGTTTGCACACACGTGGGCTTCTGCAGCACAGGGTAGGTTTGAGTGTAAAACTGCAGGTATGCATTACACCTATGAGAGGGTGTAGAAACCTCTCCTATAATATAAATGAAGGAGTTATATGCTGTCCTGTGTGTGTATTTGTGTGTGTGTGCACACGTGTGTGCACACACACACGATGCACCTGTGCCTGTGAACACGTGTCTGTGTGTGAACCTGAATACATACATATTTATGCACCAGTGCCAGAATAATGGACCCCTGAGCAGGGATCAGATCATTCAGAAAATCTCTATGTGGCTTCTCCAAGGGACTCCCCACTAATAGAGGCTCCTAGAAGGATGATATACGGACCTGACTGCTGGGGGTTCGGTCCAGGTGCCCAGAGGGAAATTGTTAGACCAGACAGTTGCATATAAAAGTGGGAACCTGTGTGTGACCTGAGAGCCCAACTTGCAAAAATGTTCTGAGCATCTAATGTGGGTCAGGCACTATATTGGACACTGCAGAGCAGAGTTGTGTCCATTTTACAGATGAAGGAACTGAGGTCTGGGGAATTGCAGTTACTCGTGTGAAGTTGCCCAGGTAGTGAACAGCCAAGCCAGGGTGGTGTTATGACTCCACAGCCTTTTCCACCAGACCAGCATCTGCTGGTGTCTCAACAGTTTTACCGAGTGCTTGCTCTGTACCCAGCTGGGAACTCCAAACCCCTCGGCTCAGTCTTCCCGTTGGACAGGGTTCTGGGAAGGGCTGATCAAAGAGTCAGAAGCTGGCTTAAAGAAGATGGGGAGTGTGGACGTGTATGTTTGTTATAGAAGCGTCTACAGTTTGGCGGGGAAGAGCTTGGGATTTGCCATTGATAGAGGCCCCTTTATCACCAGCTGGTCTACCTTTAGACTCCTGGTTGCTGGGGCCACCCTTAGTCTCATCTGTAGGGTAGTCAGGATCCAACCAGGTGCTGTGAGGAAGAGGCGGGGAGGAGATGGAGGTTGCTGCCGGGGTGGTCAGGGAAGGCTTGAGGAAGGGGAGGGCCTGTGCTGGGCCTTGAAGGGAGCATGCGGGTCCCTCCCCTGAGCCAGGCCTCCTTCCCTCCCAGGTATGTGGAGCTGGTCAATGCCGCCTGCAACTTTGAGCCGCAGGAGAGTTTCTTCAGCCTCTTCTCGGACCCCCGCAGCACCCGCCTCACCCGAATCCACCTCCGCGAGGACCTGGTGCAGGACCAGGACCTGGAAGCCATTCGCAAGCAGGTGAGACCTGGTCACCAGGCACCGGGGGTGGCCAGGGGAGGCCACCCTGAGACGGTCAGGCGGAGTTGGGGCAGGACCGGTCACCTCCGGCCCAGGAATCCTGAGGCGCCTCCAGGGCGCTCCCCCTCGTGCAGACCCCTCCCCAAGCCCCACGTGTGGCCCAGGGCCGGACCTAGGCTGGGGTGTGGGTGCAGAGGTGATAACGGGGCTGTGCCCGCCGCCAGGACCTGGTGGAGCTGTACCTGACCAACTGCGAGAAGCTGTCCGCCAAGAGCCTGCAGACGCTGAGGAGCTTCAGCCGCACGCTGGTGTCCCTGAGCCTGTTCGGCTGCGCGAACATCTTCTACGAGGAGGAGAACCCGGGGGGCTGTGAAGACGCGTGCCTCGTCAACCCCACCTGTCAGGTGCTGGTCAAGGACTTCAGCTTCGAGGGCTTTAGCCGCCTGCGCTTCCTCAACCTGGGCCGCATGATCGATGGGGTCCCCGTGGAGGCCCTGCTGCGGCCGCTCAACTCGCTGGCCGCCTTGGACCTCTCGGGCATCCAGACGAGCGACGCGGCCTTCCTAACCCAGTGGAAAGACAGCCTGGTGTCCCTTGTGCTCTACAACATGGACCTGTCGGACGACCACATCCGTGTCATTGTCCAGTTGCACAAACTGCGGTGAGCTGTGAGCCCAGGGCTCGCGGGATGGTGGTGGGGAGGTGCAGATTGTCAGCCCCAGAAGATTCCTGAAGCCCCGGCCAGGCAGAAGGTGGGGATAGAAGAGACAGTCCCATTCCTTACACCCACTGTTTTGGTCTGACCGGGGCTGTGAAGGGCACCTGGGTCCCAGCACGTTTTTTCCCGGAATGCCCTGGAGTGGTTGTAACAGGGATGGGCCCTCCCCTGCCAAGGACTGAAACAGTAGGGGTCTACGAGGCAGCCCCAGTCTGTGTCCAGCTCCTGACCTGTGCCCCCAACTCCAATCTCCAGACACCTGGACATCTCCCGAGACCGCCTCTCCAGCTACTACAAGTTCAAGCTGACTCGCAAGGTGCTGAGCCTCTTTGTGCAGAAGCTGGGGAACCTGATGTCCCTGGACATCTCTGGCCACATGATCCTGGAGAACTGCAGCATCTCTAAGATGGATGAGGATGCAGGACAGACCAGGTGGGTACCCACCTGCCAAGTTTGCTGGAAGGGTATCATTCAGCAGGCATTGACCAAGTGCCCCTCTGTCAAGTGCTGTCCTGGATGCTGGACAGAAAGAAACAAATCAGACCCTCCCGAGTCTGTGTGAGCTAGTGGGGACAGACGGGTCATTATTAGGGCTGCACAGGGCCCTGGGGTTGCCTTGAGGGTCAGGAAGGAGGGAGGAGGAGGAATGGCACCCAGGCTGTGCAGAAAGCTCATTCTGAGTTTGCCAGAGGAAGGGTGTTCTAGAAGAGGAAACAGCATGTGCAAAGGCTAGAGGTACTGCACGGGGAGTGACTGGGAGATTACGGCGCTCAGACGGGCCGGAGCTGGTGTGGTGGTATTAAGGTAAGGCCAGCATACCCGCCACTCTTTAGGTGTTGCGGCAGACAGGCTGGTCCCCAGGTTCATTGTTTGGAGGAGAGAGCTGATTCAAACCCATCCAGCTGTCACTGGCCGTAAACCCTCTCCCCGACCGGAATGGAGTGGGGTTTGGTTGATGGGCATGTCCCTTCATGACTGTTGGGGGAACCTAAAGGTGACACATCCTCACTAGAATGGCAGATAGGATTCTCCAAAGATGGCTGCAACAGTATCTCCTATCCCACATGTTCTCTACAGTGTGACCTTGTCACCCTCCCATCAAGAGGTGGGGTCTGTGTCCGTCCCCTGCCTTTAAAAAAAAAAAAAGGGACTTCTCTGCCTCCCTGGTGGCACAGTGGATAAGAATCCTCCTGCAAATGCAGGGGATACGGGTTCGAGCCCTGGTCCGTGAAGACCCCATGTGCTGCGGAGCAACTAAGCCCGTGCGCCACAACTGCTGGGCCTGTGCTCTAGAGCCCGCGTGCCACAACAACTGAGCCTGCATGCCGCAACTACTGAGCCCGTGTGCCACAACTACTGAGCCCGTGTGCCGCAACTACTGAGCCTGCGTGTCACAACTACTGAGCCCGCGTGCCGCAACTACTGAGCCCGCGTGCCGTAACTACTGAGCCCGCGTGCCGCAACTACTGAGCCTGCGTGCCGCAACTACTGAGCCTGCGTGCCACAACTACTGAAGCCCACATGCCTGGAGCCCATGCTCCGCACCAGGAGAAGCCACCCCAGTGAGAAGCCCGTGCACCAGGAGAAGCTACCCCAGTGAGTAACCCCTGCTCGCCACAACTGAAGAAAGCCTGTGCTCAGCAACAAAGACCCAACACAGCCAAAAAAAAAAATCAAAAACAAAATAGACAAGGCCGGAGGGCCTAGCAGAGGCCCCAAGGAAACGCCTCGCCACCTGCCAGGGAGAGGCCCTTGTTTGTGCTGACCCAGGGCAGCCCCAGGCCCCAGGCCACTCACACCAACACCCTCTTCCCTCAGCATCGAGCCTTCCAAGAGCAGCATCATGCCGTTCCGGGCTCTGAAGAGGCCGCTGCAGTTCCTTGGGCTCTTCGAGACCTCCCTGTGCCGCCTCACGCACATTCCGGCCTACAAAGTGAGAGGGGGAGGGGGAGGGGAGGACCAGGGTGCCCCGGGAGAAGGGAAGGAGGGGTCTGCCCTGGGCCTAGAGATGGCGGCGCTGGGATCGGGCATCCCAGCGCTTGGCCTCTTCTGGGATGTTCTGATCATGCTCCATCTCCAGGTGAGTGGTGACAAAAATGAGGAACAGGTGCTGAATGCCATTGAGGCCTACACGGAGCACAGGCCGGAGATCACCTCACGGGCCATCAACCTGCTTTTCGACATCGCACGCATTGAACGCTGCAACCAGCTTCTGCGGGCCCTGAAGGTCAGAACCGACCCTGGGGGCCCTCGGGCTCCGGTCCATTCCCACCACTCCCTCCTCTACACCCCTCCTCTTCCCCAGGACACCGGCCGTTCCGCCTCCCAAACCCCAGCCCCGCCTCGTGATGCCTAACTTGCCCCAGCACTGGCCTCGTCCCAAGACCGTGACCTGCCCCAGTTTCTGCTCCCCAACCCCTGCTTCTGCCCTCAGGCAGCAGGATCAGGCTGAGCCCTGCCCCAGAGGACCGTCCAAGCCCCTCTCACAGCCCCAGGCCTGTCCCCGCACAACTTGGACAGGCCTGGCCAACCCCGGTCCGTACTCTGTCTTCATACAGCTGGTCATCATGGCCCTCAAGTGCCACAAGTATGACAAGAACATTCAAGTGACAGGCAGCGCTGCCCTCTTCTACCTGACCAATTCCGAGTATCGCTCAGAGCAGAGCATCAAGCTGCGCCGGCAGGTCATCCAGGTGGTGCTGAATGGCATGGAATCCTACCAGGAGGTGACGGTGAGCCCCTACCCGCTGCCTGCTCTGACCCAGACACCCCACTTCCTGCTCACCCTGTGTGTCCCAGCCTTGCCAGCAGGCTCGCAGAGCCCTCCCGGTGCCATGCTTGCTCTCACCCTTTCTCTCCTGGCTCTGTACCGCTCCCCCCCACAACCCCGCTTTCCTGCGGCATCACTGCCAGACTCTGGGACCTGGCATTCAGGGCCCTGGGACCTGGCCCCACCCGGCCAGTCCGTCGTCCACTGCCACCCTCCCCCAGGGGTCCTGTCCTCCTGACTCTGGGCCTTTGCTCGTAGTTACTCCTTAGCCTGCCCAGTGACACTCTGCTGAGGTGGGTATTTTTTTCAGTAACTGCTTTTATTATAAAAGTAATCAAAATTTTTACTGGAGAAAAATTACAGGTATAAAAGAAAAATAAAAACCACCCGTAATCCCAGCACACAGAGAGCCAAGATTAACAATGGATATCTATTGTTCTGGCTTTTAGTCTGTGCATATTTATTTAGTAAATGGGACCATTCTGTGTGTACTGTTGTATAACCTGGATTTTCATTTCAACAGCGTCTTGTAAATGTGAACATCTCCCATATCAACAAAACATTTTACAACAAAATTTTAAAAGCATTGTTTCTTTTCTGATTACAAAAGTGAGATACCTAATGCTTAGAAAACAAATTCAAGTAATAGAAAATGCACTAACTAGGAAGTGAAAGTTCCAATCCCAGCTCTCTTCCCCCCGGGGCAGCTGGTGTGAACAAGTCGGCTTCATAATTGTTGGTGTCAGCATAGTGTGAAGTGTTCTCATTCAAGGAGAGGCTGCCCTGGTGCTGACTCTGTGCTGGGGCTCAGAGGCAGTGGTCAAGCCCCATCCCCGAGGGGTAGCAGGATGGGGCTCCCCCGAATACACGGGCTGCACTTACTGAGTCAGCCCCACGGTTGAACATTTAGGTTGCTTTTCATGTTTTGCTATTTCAAATAAGGCTTTGCTGAGTACAAGTAATTGATGCTCCTCATGAGACACGTCTAAAAGGAGAATGGCTGGAGCAGTGGGTTTGTGTATTTTTAAAGCATTTGGTACGTGTTCTTGCATTGTCCTCCAGAAAGGCTCTGGTGGGGATATAGCCTCTGCAGGGATGACAAGGCCCCATTTCCCACTGCCTGCCAACTCCAGACTTTAGAGCAACAGTTCTTCCTGCATTGAGATTGATTTTATAATCAGGTAAAAGGCTTGTCTTTTTTTTTTTTAACGAGAAAAGAATGCTAGTTGAAGACTTGCAAATTCATAAACTCTTTCAAAGAAATAGAAATTCAAGTAACAAGATAATCACTTTTTAAAATTTTATTTATTTATTTATTTATTATTTATTTATTTATTTTTGGCTGTGTTGGGTCTTCGTTTCTGTGCGAGGGCTTTCTCTAGTTGTGGCAAGCGGGGGCCACTCTTCATCGCGGTGCGCGGGCCTCTCACTGTCGTGGCCTCTCTTGTTGCGGAGCACAAGCTCCAGACACGCAGGCTCAGTAGTTGTGGCTCATGGGCCTAGTTGCTCCGCAGCATGTGGGATCCTCCCAGACCAGGGCCCGAACCCATGTCCCCTGCATTGGCAGGCAGATTCTCAACCACTGTGCCACCAGGGAAGCCCGATAATCACTTTTTGACTCGAGAGATTGATGATGTCCGTTGACAAAGGTCAGGGGAAGAACACACTCGCACTTTCCCACTGGTGAGGTGTGACCTGAACAACCTCTTCACAGGGCAACTTGCGGAACCTGCCAAAACTGTGAATGCATTTATCTTTTGGCGTAAATTCCACAGTTAGAAATGTTCTTAGAGGAAAAAGATACACGTACATCCTCCCTTTTTGATTAAATAAGAAGTCAGAGGCAACCAAAATGTTTTAGCAGTAGGGGCCTGGACCTGAAAGATTAATGTAAGATCTGCCCACATCATGGGATATGATGGTAAATCTGTACATCCTAACATGGAAAGATGGATGGCCCTGCATGTTGATAAGTGAAGAGAAGTTTTGGACCAATATGGATAAAACTTTCTTTCGCCTCTCCCCTCCCCCAAGTATACATTTGTATTTCCATGGTAGAAAAATCTAGAAGGTTGTGCATCAAACTTTTTTCTCTTTTAATATTTTTGGCTGCGTTGGGTCTTCGTTGCTGTGTGCAGGCTTTCTCTAGTTGCGGCGAGCGGGGGCTACTCTTCGTTGTGGTGCGTGGGCTTCTCATTGCGGTGACTTCTCTTGCTGTGGGACACGGGTTCTAGGTGTGCAGGCTTCAGTAGTTGTGGCACGTGGGCTCAGCAATTGTGGCTTGCGGGCTCCAGAGCACAGGCTCAGTAGTCGTGGCGCACGGGCTTAGTTGCTCCGTGGCATGTGGGATCTTCTGGACCAGGGCTCGAACCCGTGTCCCCTACATTGGCAGGCGGATCCTTAACCACTGCGCCACCAGGGAAGTCCTGCATCAAACTTTTAACGGCAATTACTTCTGAAGAATTAAGTGGGGGACTTTATAACTTTCTACTCAGATAGTATTTTTTGAAATTTTTATAGTAAGTATTGCTTTTATGATTTAAAATAAATTTTTTTCTCAAATTACGAAATATATGTATATTGTGGGGGAGAGAAAGGACAGAGTTAACAAGGGCTAACAAGTTAATTAGAGGATTAGGATAGCCTTTAGTTTATATAAGTAATGAAGCATGGTGAACTTCCAGTATCTAATGAGAATGCATGGAAGGAAATTATGAGGGAAATGCACTGAGAATACTGTACAATAAAGAAAGAAAGAAACCCACGGACAGCACAAAGAGTAATTGAGGATGTGGAGCGACTGGAACTTTTCTGTGCTTCTGGTGGGAGTATAAACTGGTACAGCCACCTTGGAAACAGTCTGGTGTTACCTGGTAAAGCTGAAGACGTGCACACCTTGTGACCTAGAAACTCCACCCCGCGCGTGGGTGCCCTAGAGGAGCCCACACACATGGACACCAGGATGCACGTACAGGACATTGTTTGAAGTAGCCAAACACTGAAGTCTACCCGAATGTGCGCTAGCAGTGGACTGCATAGATAAATTAGAATTCTATACTGCAAATGAAAAAAAAAATGCATTTCAGCTACTTATAACAAGATGGTTGATCTTGCAAACCTGTGGTTGAACAAAAAGCCACAAGATGCTAGAGAATCTTTCAAGTGAAAGGCAGGGATGGGGCTCTCTCGTAGGGAGAGGGGCTTATGACCAGGAAGGGACATATGGGGGCTTCTGGGTGCTGGCAATGTTGTTTCTTGACCCAAATGGTGTTTAAATCGTTGTTGAAAAGCTTGTTTGCTTTATAATTATTTGCAAAACTATACATTTGTGTTTTATGCACTCTTCTGTATATTACAGTTCACGTTTTTTAAAAAAAAAGCCTCGTAGTCTCCTCTTCCAGGCAGCCTTTGTGGAGCACCACAGCTCTGGATGATCTCACACCTCTAGAGAGCCCCTCAAGTCCAGCTCCCAAGGCTGACCGTGACTGTGCTCCGCTTGTCTCCTGGCCCCGCCCAGGTCCAGCGGAACTGCTGCCTGACCCTCTGCAACTTCAGCATCCCTGAGGAGCTGGAGTTCCAGTACCGCCGAGTCAACGAGCTCCTGCTCAGCATCCTCAACCCCACGCGGCAGGACGAGTCGATCCAGCGCATCGCCGTGCACCTGTGCAACGCCCTGGTCTGCCAGGTGGACAACGACCACAAGGAGGCCGTGGGCAAGATGGGCTTTGTTGTGGTGCGTGCGCGCGCGGTGGGGGCTGCCTCTCCCTCCCTCCTCCACAGCCCCACTGCCAAAGGGAGGATGTAGGCCGGACCAAAGGAAGAATTTCCTGGGACTTCCCTGGCGGTCCAGTGGTTAAGACTCTGAGCTTCCAATACAGGGGCTGCGGGTTCGATCCCTGGTCTGGGGAGCTAAGATCCCATGTGCCACGTGGAACAGCCCCCGC